ATCAGAAAAAAAAAAAAAAAAAAACAAACAAACAAAAAGAGAACTAGCAACAATTGAAAATTATGTATCACCGTTTTCCCATAATAGTGAATCACAAAGATCATTTTATTATTGAAAGGCATACTATTCTTTATCATCTTGAAGCATACAAATATATAATTATACAAGACATGCACACATTAGAAACAAAAAAAAACAAAAAGAGAACTAGCAACAATTGAAAACTATGTATCACCGTTTTCCCATAACAGTCAATCACAAAGATCATTTTATTATTGAAAGGCATACTGTTCTTCATCATCTTGAAGCATACAAATATATAATTATACAAGACATGCACACATCAAAAAAAGAAAAAAAAAAAAAGAGAACTAGCAACAATTGAAAATTGTATAGAATAAAAACCTTATAGGCACAAATGAAGCATTGACATACCACACTAAAAGAAAACAGAGCAAATAATGGAAAATTCAGCACTAGTTAATAAGGTTGGCTAGAAAAGTAGCCACGTATTGTCACTTATTGATCACAATAACCTATTACTATTTATAATTTCTAATACTAGTATTTATAAGTTTCCTCCATCAAAGAAATTGGTGTAAAAATTTGTAAATCTAAATTCAAGATTCCATTTTTTGAGGATTAGGATTAAAATTTCAAGGGAAAAAAGAAATTGGGGCTAGGGCTTTTATTAAATAGGTAAGAAAAGTGACAAATGATGAGAAACTTATGTAGATATCTGAAGATTCAAATATCAACACTTCAAAACCTAGATCTGCCTTTTCCTGAGTTTGGATTAGGGTTTTGATTTTGAGATTTCAAAACCCTAATACAAGCTCAAATGCTTTAATAACCTTTGCCTTGCCTTGAACCAATGGGACGAAATTGTGAACTGGTGGAGACGTGAAGTGGAGAAAAGAGAGAATTTCTCTCTCTGGCAGAAGAGAAAGAAGTAGAGGAAGAAAGTTGGGGTTAATGAGATATTACTATTTATATTGCCAAATTGTTGGCAAAATTACAAAAATTGCCACCATTTTAGGAAAAAAATCATTAAAAATATTCTGAAGTTGAAAAAAATAAGCTTTGGGTCAGCGGCAAATTAGATAATTTGGAGGCTCATACGATAAATATGGTAATAAGCCTACAATACCAATTATGTACCACAGGTCTAAATGGTATTGCCCTATTACCATTTAGACCTACTATATGGTAATTTCCCATACCGTTTCTGTTGGTAATGGGATGATACAATGGTAATTGTGGCATTTATGGTATAGTGCCTAGCCCTAGTTGTATACCGTTATTTTCCTAAATCTATTATACCGCTATTTTCCTAAATCTATTATTGTTTGTTTGAAATTTTGAGTTTAAAATTTTTAATTTTCACACACAAAATATTAATTTTTTTAAATAAAAAATTTAATTATTTAACATTATAAAATTTTTAATTTGTAATTTTAATTTTAAATTAAAAAATTTAAAATAGTAAATATTAATCTGAGAAAACTCAGGCACGCAGGCTAATAAGTGATAACCCAATGGGTTACCACCAGATCTAGGGCCTGGGTGCGAACCGTGGGCTTTATCATTGTATCTGTTATGGGTTTTGAGTCTGACATCTACGGATATGAAAAAGGTCAAGCTCACCCAAATTGCTAAGTGGGCTGAAAGTGATGGGCTGAAAGTGATGGGCTTCAGCTTTGTCTTCCTTTTCGGCCTTCTACAACCCATTTCTTACAAATAAATGTTTCAAATTTTAATTTCTTTTATTATGTGATAAATGTTTGACTCAGTAAACAATAAAAATCAGAGCCTCCAGCAGCCTCCTATTCTCCCATGCAGCCACCAGCTCCCATGCATGCACTATTGCGCCACCATTTTGCAATTTCTATGCATGCAATTTTTTCTGTTTTACAATTGTTCAATTGACTGCTGCACAACACAATCCAGATTGACTCTATTTTTTGAAACGGGGATTTCCTCTACTCTAATTAAAGGCTTGTTTGAAAGCTCCCTCATGTACTTGGTTTTCATATTTCAGAAATATGGTCAATAATTTGTCTTTCTTTCAATTTTCCTTATTCACATTCTCTTGCTTTAGCTTTCATCACAATACTAACCAATTGCAAGGTTTAAGCACAAGCTCTATTTTCCTAAAGGTATAGTGATTGAATAGTGTGCCTAACCAACTGCTTAATGAATTAATTATGCTAACCAAAGCACATCCATTTTACAAATTGTAACATGAAAATGGTCAAGCGACGACCTCAAAACTAGCTAGGCGTGCATATTATTGCTGTGTTTGTCTTGGAGAGAGGTTCCTTCCCATTAAATTTTGCAGAATCTATTTTCTCTTTTATAATAACAGAAAGTATCACTAATTTAAAGGAAGTAAGCATTTCAAACCGGATTATATAATTGAAGAGAAATGATAAAGAACAGATAAAGTACACATACCACACTAATATAGATCAAGGGAGAGTTCCTATGCATTACTTGCTTAGCCACCAAGTTCAAATATCCATTTTTTTTAATCTGTAATTGTGGGTGATAATGTTGTCTTGATTCCTTCTAGCAAAGTTTGGTGTCCCTTGTGGCCGAAAAAAAAAGGAAGAAAGCTTCGTGTCCCTTATTAGAGGGTTTTGCCTTTTGTGAATTACATAATACGAAGTATATAACTTTCACAAATTGTACCTTATCGATTTCTTTTGGTACCACTACCAGTCTACCACCTTTTAGATGGTCGTCAGTCTGGATGTCTGGGTGGCTTACTGCTTTTTCTCCTTCTATGTAGGACTGATGAATGATGGCTGAGATCCTAGCAACAGGCAAACAGCTAATCAATCTGCTCCCTCCAACAGGGTCATCTCTTTGGATCACATGGGAAATCAGATTGTACCCATAATAGCCCCAAGAACGTCCAGTGTTTTCACAATATTCATATGGAAAGCATCCCTCTTCTCGCCCCTCCATGCGGGGACCAATTCAAGTACATTGACACGTTTGTCTGGACTTGAGGATCTAGTAGGCACAACCAACCCCCGCAGGAAAAATTCCGAGGCAACAATTACATGTCAAAACCAGAGCCTTGTAATCCCATTAAACAATGCACCCAATATCGAATAAGATTAATGGGACTAATAGTATATTTAATCAATTGATGCTCCAAATCATGGGTCGTGGTTGTAACTCTGGCATACAGGGGATTTTATAATGTTTTGTTGGGAGGAGGGACGGAGGAGTTATGTAAAAAAGCAGTGTGAGGGCTCAACTCAAGGTGGGTCTTTGTCCGGGAGAAGTGCCTTCCCTTTTCCACCAATAATTGAACTTTGTACTACATAGTTTATTTCGAGTTTAAGACACCAATGATGGGGTTGTGTTCCAAGTGCAAGATTTCTTTACACGTCTGATTATTTTGAAGCATGTTGGAAGTGTCCCCATTAAAAACTCCCATGTCCTCTTCATATCAAGCATTCTAAGTGGACTCCAACTCCTCCTTCACCTACTAGTGGGTATCCCTTTCATCACCTAACCTTTCTCTGAACAACACCCATTTAAATAAACCCAACCACCCCCCCCCCCCCC